AATCCTGACATTTCTAGACTCAGAATGAGGGACAGGGAAGAGCAGAGTGTTGCTATTTAAGTCCCTTTTTACGCCAACTGATCTATTTGTCCCAATGAGAGAGGCTTTTGAAAGGATTTTCTTATTTTGGTACTTTCGTGGTCCCTCTCTCATCATGAAAGCCAAAGAGACCTTGGCGGGGATCAGGAATTTTCCTAACTGGGTCTTTTGGACCCAGGGGCAGGGCCTGTTGGTTCATCACCACTGAGTGTGCCTCACCCTCACATCCACACAAGGCCCTGCTGGGATCCCAGAGCCCCCGGGAACAGAAGAAATCCATGCCATTGTCCACAGTGCCAGCCTTTGGGGAAGGAGGTTCTGAGTGCCTGGAGCAGCTGCGGACTTTCTGAGCTCCTTTGTTCTTTGTTCTAGGAACAAACAGGGTGCTAGGAAGCTCCCTCATTCATCACACCAGCAAAGCTGAGGTCTTCAGGTCAGCTCTCTTCACCCAGTGAGAGTCACACCCTCCCAGGTCCAAGTCAACCCTGAGCACTTTCCACTGATGGCATCATTTCACTCAATAATGGCATCATGTCCCTCTTCAGATTTTCTGTAAAACGTCCAAGTAAACTCCAGACCCTGGTCTTCTTGTCAAACATGTGCCTCTCACTGGAAAGTCACACATAGTATTCGAATGCACATATCATTTCAGTGGGGCATGATTGTGGGCATCTGTCCTTCTGAGCCTGGTCACCTCCATGGCCCTGCCTTTCCATCTGCATCCTGAGGACCTCGTTAAGGTCCTATAATTTCACTGAGCGTATCTGCTTCCCTCCTAGACATGGCAATTTTGTCTTTCTCCGATTTTGTTTTTCTCTTACTGTAGCCCATGCCACTGGGACCAGGCCTGACCAGCCCCAGCAGGCTTGGTATTGCCAACCAAGTGAGAGCAAAACTCATCATCCCAAATCCCGTGAAGCAGGGGTGTGTCCCTTGTTTGATACTGAGGGCATTCTTAATCATATTTTGGAATAACTAAATACCCTAATCCTTGAAAGTGGCCAGATTAGGACACAAAAGTAACTACCATCTTTCCTTTTAAAATATCAATTGAGTTGTTATTACACGATGCTCTACTTGAAAGTTGTTCTTTGCATCCAGAGCCCATTGCAGGACTCAGACACTTCAAGGAACCTCAAGGACCCTCAAATGCCAGGTGCTNATAACTAAAAGCTAAGGTGGGATTGGCCAGGTGAAGGGCCAGAGAGGAGCTAGTATTTTTGACAGAGGTCCCCCTGCTGGCCAGGGCAGGGAAGTGCGAGGCGTCTCTCATCCTGGAGAGCTGAGAGAAGTTCTTGAATTTGGAGCACTGGGGGAGGTTGTGGCAGGAGCTGAGACCTGACAGCAGACAGTGGCGGACCATGAAAGGCCTTGTGGACCACAAGAAGGATTTTGTCCTCACGGACTTCACTGGGATGGTTGCCGTGTGGAGTGGCTAGGGAAGGACAAGACGGCAGGCAGGGGTCCTGCAGGAGGTGAAGTGTATTCTAGGCGAGGTGTGCTGGTCACCTGGAGCAGCTGGAGCAGAGAGCAAGGAGAGAAGGGAATGGATTCAAGAGGATGACGAGGTGATGTGGACAGGACCTGGTGAGATGTGAGAGGGAGGGAGAGGACGCTTCAGTCTTCTCATAGGAAAAATGAGGCTAACGCCCTCCTCCTGGGCTGTCTAGGGATTCACTGATACAAGAAAGGCTCTCGGTAGTGCTACTGTCCCGCCCACCCTCTTAACACCAGCACTCATTCACCTTTTTCTGTGTTCTGTTCCAGTCTTAGGAACTTATTTATAATTTTTTGATATTTCAACAAGGGAACTCCACTGTCTGACCTTTTATGTTCCTAATCCCCTTTCCACCACACACAAATACACACGCACACACACACACACACACATGCGCACACACTATAGCCCCCCAACACACAAACCAGCCCCTCCACAACACACAAACCACACATAAACACACCATACACTAGACACACATACAGACACATACACGTACGTTACACCACACATACACACATACACATACCACACACCCAAGCAAACTGCATACACAAGTACCCCATACCTCACAGACACACACACCAAAGCATGCGTGCACACACACACACACACACACGCACACACACACGCACACACACAGTCTTGGCACAGGCCATTGCCCTCTACTTGCACTATATCTCCCACCTAGCCTGGTCCTCTTCCTCCCCTGCCCCCCAAATCACACACCCTAGAGGGAGCTTCCAAGTGTGCATATAGCAGGCATGTCCTCATGTTGGTTTACTGTCACAGCTGGGTCTGCCCTACATGGTTTGCTTAGTTTTGGGTACTGCTGCTGGCATAGCTGTTGTATGGCTGCCACTGGACGGTGAATTGGGAACAAGCCCGCATTGTGGGTGCCTGCCTCTGCCAGGAGTCACCTGTGGCTGGTGGACAAGGCAGTGAAGGAGCCTCTGCTGAGTGGGAACAAACAGGAAAAGTCAGTGTTTTCCCAAATCCCCTTGGGCATGTAGCGCCCAGCTGGGCCCAATCCAGGTTTATTTGGTGATAAGATTTGGTTTTGTTTTTTTCTTCAAGCCTCAAGGGCATGTGCCACTGTAGCCTTGGCCCTGACCTGGATCCTCTATTATTCATTAGCTGCCTGGAGGTTTCCCTCTGAGCAGGGCTTTGCTGAATTTGAGAGCAGCCTGGGTCGGAGCAGTCTTGTTAATCCAGGTCCTCTTCTCCGAAGGGATGGTGATGAAGGGGCCCCAAGAAGCACTGCCTTACCCCTGTCCAGGCCACAGTGCACTCCACTTGGCAGGAGGCCCCACATGGTGCCTCCCTCTGCCAATACTTGCCCCTCCTGTGTGGGTCCCAAGGGCCAGTCTCAGGTTCAGGGGTGGGTATGGGGGTANAGCTCTTAACCAACTGAGCCACTCAGCCGGCCCTATCCATCTTTTTGATTGGAGGATATCAGCATCTCCTGCAGACTTGATATTCTACTTGGAGAAATCCTTGGCACCAGGGAGCTTCTCTCTCACCAGTGAAGACTGAATTAGATTATCACTTCTCAAACCCTTACTAATCAGAATATTCAGGGGTGGGGTACAGGATTGTATTTTTTCAAAACTCCACAAGTGATTTTGGTAATCAGCCAGATGGAGGGGCCACCAACTACACACAGTAAGGTAGCTTTATACCTCTGGCATCCTGGTGCCAGAGCTGGAGTCCTGTTGAGCCCATTCAGCAACTCATTAATTAAGACCATGAGCAATACCGTCCCGCCTGCATCTCTACCTGTGCCCAATGTGTTCTTTTCTGAAAGCTCCTGACTTCCTTCATTCTAGGGGGCAACCTGGGAAGGTGCTGCTACCATAGCCACTCACCCTGGACAGAGCACGACTGGCCAACATCTCAAAGGCTTGTACCACATTGATGTCATTCTTGGCACTGACTTCAAAGTAGGGAATATCCTTCTCTTTACACCAGCCTTGGGCTACCTCCCGTGACACCTGAATGAAGGGAAGAAATGATCACTGTTCTGGTATCATCATCTCCACCATCCCCACTGTTGTCATATTCTCCACCATCATTACCACCATTACGTCCCCACCATCCCCACCATCACTCCCATTTATTGAGAACTTCCATATGTCCATAACTTTACATGTGTTATTTCTTTTTTCTAAAGATTTTATTGGGTAATTGGGGGAGGGGAACAGCATTGGGGAATTGGGGGAAGGGGAACAGACAAATTGCTGTCCTTCTGTTCTTCAGTCTGGTTGTGGAGGACGTTGCTTCACTGGCCCATGTTGGTATTATCATTGCGCTCTTCCCNTTCCGTTTGGAGAGTGGAGGCAGAATCTTCCTGGAAATAGGTTGCTGACTAGGCACTCAGGTAGGTGTGAGAATTGTATTTTACATTTTAAGTGACAGCAATGCTAACCAGATGAAGATTTGAGTCCCAGAGGTCATTTGGGGGAGGAGGTGTGGAGGTAGGAAAAGGATGTATGAGTCTCATTTGTTTGCTCACTCATTCATTCATTTAGTTCTCACTTACTGCTCCCTCAGCCTGCAATGGAGACCCCAGTCCTATTCCTTTTCACCAATAGATTTAAAATGCCCTTGAAACTATTCCTGACCCAATTTATTGAGCACTTACTACAAGGTAGGCACGATACATACGTAGTAACTAGAAACCTTCAAGATAAGCATTATGATCCCCACTGTACAGGTGAGACAGTGGAAGCTCTGAGGGGTCAGGTGACACATCCAAGGTCAAGGAAAAGAAAGCCAGGATTCAAACCCAGTTGGGCCTGACTCCAAAGCTCAGGCTGTGGTTGAGGTTTAAAAATTTGAATATTTGAATCACAAAAAGAATATGTGTAACATACACCTAAGATGCAAAGTGCAATAATAAAATAAGTGTTTGTGGCTCACAACCCAACTGAAAGAATAGAACATTCTCAGCGTCATCCAGTCGCCTGGGTGTCTTGTCCCTATTGCATGTCTCCCAACCCAGCCCACTCTCATCCAGGGTAACCACTATCTAAATTCTGGGTTCACCATTACCTTGTTTGTGTGTTTTTTGTTGTTGAACCACCAGCATGTGTGGTTCATAAAATGTGTGAAGCTAAACTTCTTTGTTTTCTTGCTTTTGAACTTTAC